GAGTCCCTGTTCCCCCAAGCACTACAAGGAGTGACTAGAAATAATGGTCACAAGCTGGCAGAGGGTAAATTCAGATTTGACATCAGGAGGCACTACTTCACTGTCAGGGCGGCTAGGATCTGGAACCAACTTCCAAGCAAAGTGGTGCTGGCTCCTACCCTGGGGGTCTTTAAGACAAGGCTAGGCAATCACCTTGCTGGGGTCATTTGACCCCAGTACTCTTCCTTCCATGGCAGGGGGTCAGACTTGATGATCTGCTCAGGTCCCTTCCAACCCTACTAACTATGAAACTATGAAACTATTTCTAAGATTGAAGTAAAAATATGTTTAATAAAAGTTAAAAGATTTCTTGACTTATGAGGAGAGGCTGATGAAACTGAGCTTATTTAGTCTGGAGAACAGTAGACTGAGGGGGGATTTAACAGCAGCCTTCAACTACCTGAAGGGTGGTTCCAAAGAGACTGGGACTGGACTGTTCTCAGTGGTGGCAGATGACAGAACAAGGAGCAATGGTCTCAAGTTGCAGCAAGAGAAGTTTAGGTTAGATATTAGGAAAAACCTTCTCACTAGGAGGGTGGTAAAGCATTGGAATGGGTTATCCAGAGAGGCTGTGGATTTTCCATCCTTGGAGATTTTTAAGCCCCGGCTAGATAAAGCCTTGGCTGGAATGATCTTGTTGGGGATAGCCCTGCTTTGAGCAGGGGGTTGGACAAGATGACCTCCTGGGGTCCCTTCCAACCCTAATTTTCTATAATTCTGTGATTCCAACTGAGAAGGTGTAGCACTTGCACTTGCAGGGACTTGAAATCTGGCAGGGGAAACATTCTTGCATAAATATGCCCCAGATGGTCAAAATTCTGAGTCTGCATGTGCTTGGCTGAAGCATAAGGGTTTGGCAGCTAAATTCTTTAACAGTTCTGCTGGCGCTGTGCATGCTTCATCCCCTCAGAAAAAAATTACTATACTCCCAACCCCATCTTTCAGGGAGCAACCTCACACAAACAAAGGTTGCCAGGGCAGGTCACTTGTTCACTTCCTATCCTTCCCACTCTCGGAACAATTATTGCTGACCTAGTTAGGATTGCTAGCCAAAGAAAATAAGGCCAGCAACTTAACTGATTTAATCACACACACACACACAAACTTCTGAGAAAACTGACATATGCAGATTATTATGTTCAACACCTTCACACAAGGATAAGATCCTCCAAACACAACTCCATATGGTATGCTGCCAAGCATGATGTGGAAAACCCTAATATCTGCCCAGTAAAATAATACTAAAGAATCAAAAGCTAGCTACAGTAACAGCTATTGCAAAACTAGTACATCAAATAAATGAGGAAAAATGATCAAAAGAAAAAAATTGTTGTAAAGTTCTTGACATTTTACATTTCCGTTTGTTTTCCAAGCTTATCAATTATTGAGGAAATGGACTAAAGAAAATACATTGTTCATAGGTAGATACTTCAACAGCAACTAATCTAATAAGTGGCCTATAACTAAAAAGAATACCATTTACCTGAATCCAGGATGACCCTGAATTTAAGACAACTCCCCAGTTAGATTCTACACATGGAAAATATACATATTTATTATAATTTTCTATGTATAGAATCTAATTATTGGAGAATCATCTTAAATTCATAGGGGGACAGGAGATGATGGGGACAATAATGGGACAGGTTGTGGGGGAGGCAGTAATGGGGCAGGCAGTGAGAAAGGAAATAAGGGGGTAGGCAGTGGAGACAGCAATGGGAGACAGGCAGTAGTGAGACAAATGGTAGGGGGCAGGAAGTATATAGGTGGTAGGGCAAGCAGTAGGGGAGGCAGGCAGCTTGCCCCTTGCCACCTGTCCTCCCACCCACCCCACTTAACCACCTATGTGTCTGACCCCTGCAGCCTCAGGCCCCTGTGTCCCTCTCTCCTGCCCTCCCTTGTTCCTCCTCCATGCCACTTCTGAACCCCCAAACCTGGGTTGGGGCTGGAGCCAGAGTTGCAGCTGCTGCCTGCCCCCAAACACCTCAGACTCGATTTCAAGATGAGG